TACCTATATATTAAAAATTCCGATATAATAAGCAAAAACGTGAAAATTAGCCAAAAACCTTAATTTATGGGCGATTACTCCTTAAGGAGTCCGCCCATGAATTCAGTCATGTCGGCATTTGTCGTTTCCATGGCCATAACGGTTTCGATGTAGAGACAATGGTGCACTTATAAATACAAAATACACATATCTCCAGTACTACTTCAGGGATTAGAGCTGATGATACCAATTAATAACAAGTTCACTATCACGTCTTGAAAACTTCCAGAAAAAAAACCTAAAGCAGATACTGTGTCTACCCACCTGTGTAGCAGATATAACAGTGAACATCTGAACAGGAATACTCCCCGATTGAAGCTCAGATGCACATCCGAGCATTAGGCCTATTAACAAACTCTTCATCGAGCCTGAAGACACTGAGCATAGAAAAATCACTAACAAGACGCTAACTACTTATAGAAAATGACGGAAGTTCTAACTGGTTAATTGCTATTAAGCATAGGCTACGAAAGTATCAAATACAGGTGGCACGCTGGTACTTGACCAAACCAGTTAACAAAACTATATGGACCTCAACTATCAAGAAGAAAAGATACAAGCGTTGGAATAGGTCAATAGTGCAGCTACTGTTATTATATAAAGGGCTCAATTTCTTAACAGCTGAAAACATGGGAACTGGAAATATACACCCTCTGTTCAAAATCAACTGCCACTCTGCTATAAGGGTCTGGGTGTGGTTTACAGAGTAGAGAATAATGAAAAAAATAATGAATCGAGAATAATCAGCGAAAAATATTTAGAATAGAGAATAATGGGGTGCAAAAGTATAAAGAATAAATGTTAGTTAATATTAAAAAATTAAGGTAAAAAATATACTGAATACAGAAATGAGCAATGTGTAGAATAGACAAATCATCTAATTACAGAAATGTTAATAGTAAAATCATTTTCATGAGAATTTTACAGAATAATTTTATTTTTAAAGATAAAGAAACATGTCTTAAAAATTTTAAGAATACAAAAATTAATGACCCCCGATCCAGACCCTCTTCTATTGACAGGCTCGTATATCCGGATCAGAATGTATAAATACGAGATGACCAGTAAATGTTTGTTATGCGCTAAAGAAGAAGACAACATTGAACACTTTTAAACTGTGAAAGCCTATGGAAATTTAGAAATATCATTCTTCTTGAACTAATTCAACGCAAAACGCAATGGGAATTCCATTTGATGTAAGTTGTCAACAAACGAAACATTACAATATATTTGGACATAACACCGGTAGTGAAAACAAACGTATGTAATCTTTAGGTTACAAGAGCGAAAGATGGTACTCAGAATAGAATCTTATACGGCTTCTGATTGGATGATACAGGATTGGAATTACTTTTAATCGAAAGCTTATCGGTTTAAAAAATGCAGAAAATCAAATTCACATTTTACAAAGTATAGAAAATATTTCTAATATCTGCACGTCGGAGCCTTTAAAAATCAGCCTTTTTCATTAAGCGAAAAAAATAGACGATGTTTTTCAACTGCATTTTAAGTCAACTTTTGCCGCATGACCATATATATTTTTTTTGGTTGTTATGCAACACTGACATTTCTAGTAACAGGAACTGCTACCCATTTTTTCTTAGAGTGTGTAGTCTTCGAGAAAAAAAAAATTGAACGTCACTGTTACCCTATGGAAAATGCATTACGAATAATTGGGCTCTTAATTGTAACCTATAGTTGCAATTTATTGACCTGAGAGATATCAATTTTATATCTTTTATGTTTTTTAAAATTATGCAAGCAAGTAGAGCATGCGGAACTGCATATGAATATAGAAAAAAGAGTATAAGTAACTTTTATACTTCCGGAGAAATATCAAAAAGAATATATTATCGAAAGAAGAAGAAATGAATAGGATGCACGTAAATATCGCAAAAAGTCATTATTGAATATTTTGACTATAAGCTAGTTGCCTTTTCTCAAAAATCTGTCCTACGAATTTACTTTATAAACTATATATTATTGCCACTAAAATGTCTGTTTTATTGGTATAAAAATATAAAGGGGTCGCCGAATTATTTTGATGTATAGAAATTATTCAAGTGTGTCGGATACATCTAAAAAAACGTCGAACAATAAGATTTCTATGCACAATTCAGTCACAACGTCTTTCTTTTGCTTTTTCTGCGTTTTTTCTTTAAACTGAGTAGAATATTATACCCGAAAATGTGATGAGTTAAGTGACCCTATTAATTTTTTATCAATAAAACGGAAATTTCAGTAGAAAGAACATATCATTTTAAAAGAAAAATTCGGCGCAGGATAGGATTTCGATAAATGATAACTATTAGTCAAAATTCTGAACTTTTTTTTACATTATTTACATGCATTCTAGACAATTGTGCATCTTTTTTCGTTAAATTTAATTTTGCCATATCGCAGAAAGTATAAAAGTTTAATACATTTTTTTCGATGTTCATGTACAGTTCTTCATGCTCTAGTTGTATGCAAAATTTCATAAAATTCCATGAGATCGTTCATTGCGTACCTGTTTCCTAACTTGAAGTGTCATCTGATAATTTTGGCGTAATGGGAAAAAGGCAGATCTTGTCATTATGATCATTTATGCTCTGTTAAAATTTTCTCTGCCTATTCTTAATTTCAAAATACAAGACAATCACAGGCACTTGTCTCTGAAAAAAATACATATATACCTTAATATAAAACGGTTTTTTTTCAGAAACAAGTACCTGTGAAGACAATTAATGCATAAGTTTTTAACGACCTTGACTGGCTTTATAGCCCTCGCAGTGCACGGTCGGTGTTTGTTAATTAACCAGAATTAAAAACTTTTATACTAGATGCCTCAACCCAAGTTTGGTTGAAATTTGTTCAGCAGTTTCAGAGGAGTAGATATTTAATAAAATTTACGGACGTCATGTGATGACAAAAGCTCAAATGACCTTTTACAAAAATAGTTGTGTGCTTTAAAGTCTTAACAATGAAATTATTCGACACAACACAATGATAATATGAGTACTTTTGGCAAATGTAAGATAGCTGAAACATTTAAATCAAATGAAAGTCTTTATATAAAATCACAATACAAGTAATGCTCTAAGATCACATGTACAATAACTAAACAACTGCCCCAAAACTGTGAAAATCATTAATTCATCTTCACCTTATAGATGGCCAGTGACCTATACATTTTAATAAACTTAATCCATGGATATTTCCATCATCTTCTTTACTGCCAATTTTTCCAAATATCAATTTGTACGACATTTCTAACGGTAGGAAATCAATAAATGCAGAAAACTTTGAAACTTATTTCATACAATCGATAGAATAAATCCTGCAAAAAAAAAAATCGGTTTTTAGTTGAACTCACACACAACCGTAATCGGCCCCAAAATAAGGCTATTCTAACAATAAAAACCTTGGCTAACCTACTTGCTGATTTTAATGAGATTGATTTAAGGAATCCTGGACATATGATTTTGTCTCTAAATAACCTAGGACTATTAAATATATTATGTCCCAGAAATAACTGAATAACCAAATAATTATAACAAAAAAAAATCTTTTGAAGTACTTATGGGGTATTGTTACAATGGTGCCAATTAGCCTATAAAAGTCAAAGTGAAGCTAGATTTCACAGTGTAGAAACGCAAATATGACATATATACATATTTCAAAATATTTTTGGAGAACCCGTTTGAAATCAAATATCACGGAAAATATTATTTTCGTTTTACCTATATATTGAGTGTTATAACTTTGGTGTCAATCTGCAAAACACTATTGCATAAATATGGACGTAGTTATACATTGAAGATGTATTTCACAGAGTCAAAATAAAAAAGCTAAAGTTACTGCAGTTGAACATACATGTATGTTGGAATTCAGAAGGACCCAGAATCCTAATGCACGCCATGAGATAGCGGAGGTATATAGTTTTTGACCCGTCCATCACCAATTTTCACAATAGGATGAACGAGCATCTTTTTTTAATGACCTGACGAAACTCTTTCTATTTTAGTTGTCGATTTGAGGACGACATCTTGGTCTTTTATTTTAAAGAAAGTTTATAGCCTCTCGATCTTGAACTATTCAGAGTCTCTCGATGAAGGACATTTATTGTCCATACTGACGTCTGGTGTAAATGTTCTATAATTAAAAAAATACACATCAAAATTACTGAATTTTTTATACGTTTATATACAAAATGATAGGTGGCTCAGCCACTCTATCATGTTATCCAAACATATCCTGCGCCGGGAGGTATAATGTTTTGAACGCTAGGTCATTGGGCATACTAGATAAGTTAACTAATAAAACCAATACCTCTGTTAAAGTATATTAATTTCAGAAATTGCCTTCTGTGATAATCAGGGTTATCAATACGAGTGAACAGCCTATGGTGACTCAGTAAAAATTGTAGTCAGATACGCGTATACTTATAGAGTGGAATGAAAAACGATGTATCATATTCAGATCGCACAGTTTGCATAATAATTGATGTTGAGGTAATCAGGTTTTAACTAGTGTTATGTTGAATTCGTTTCAGTATTATGGTTGATAGTATTACCAGAGACAAACAATACTGTGTCTCTGGTATTATCATGACACTGCTTATCATGCTTTTAAAAAATATGTTGTCTAAGTTTTATGAGATTTTTAAATAATCATATTTTGGGAGTATTTTAAGTCAGGAAATATAAGTCCCTTCATAACATAAATTCCAAGTGGAAGAAATATTCTTTAATATATTGTTTTATACAAATGTAATAGCTTTCGTTCCTTACGGCGCAGTTACGGAATAAAGGGTATAAAATATTTTTTCCAACAGGAACAGATATTATGACATTGTTTATAACAAAAATTCCAGGGTAACAGCCGAACTTCTGTTAGGTGGAACAAATATATACGTTGACATAACGACAGTTAAAAAGTCGGATTTTTATTCGTTTCCGTTCCGGCTAGTATGAATTTACAATGATTTAAGGGGCGTAACTCTGTGTTAATTTCGAGATGAAACAACACGTCAGATTAAATTTCAGATGCATTTGGAGACATTTGTAGCATTTATCATCTTTTCTTTGTATTCGATAAACAGTTACTGTCGTAAGATTAATTTGAATAATCTCCCATTATGTTCAGTCGTCAAATAAACCTAACAGAAACTGAAAAAGGGCAGTAAAAAAACTTCCTACAGTCCAGATAAATTCTTGACCTGCTGTCGGAGAGTATTTTATTTTTATAGATGCCTCTTCTACCTCTACTTTGTAATGACCGCCTTGAACACGTTGAAGTTTATATCACTTGTACTACGCATGGCTTAGTTGAATCGAATATACACTGAAATTTAATAATGTTAGAATTATTAAAAAAATTACTTCTAATTTTCAACGAGAAACACAGCGGGTTTAAACGTTTTAACAGGCGCCAACCTTCACATGAACCTGAGACAGTGGTGTAGTATTTCAACATAAAAAGACAAACTATTAAATATCAACTGAAATGGCTTATTTTGATCAAAAGGACATATACACAAAAAAAAAATTGGAAGGGTTCCGCGGAACCCAGTGTCTCGCCTACTTTTGCTGTTAATCGCAGGCTGAACAAAAATGAGGAAAAAAATTAATAAAAATATTCTTCTCTATACTATCTTTTGATGGTAAGTAGCTTCTGTCCAAGTTTGGTAAAAATCCAGGATAATTTATGAATCTAATAAATGTTTTAAAAACTTAAACTGCAGACTGTATGTAATGTTGACTGGAAGAAAAACTAAGTCCATTTATAAGTAAAATACGGAAAAAATGGAATTTTTTTTTTACAAAATTTACTTCTGGATACTATCTTATGATCATAAACAAGCTTCTTTCCAAGTTTGGTACAAATCCAGGATAGTTTAAGAAAGTTGTTAAAATTTTAAAAACTTTAACCACAGAGTGAATGTAATGTTAACTGGCAGAAAAACTAAGTCCATTTATAAGTAAAATACGGAAAAAATGGAATTTTCTTTTTACAAAATTTACTTCTGGATACTATCTTATGATCATAAACAAGCTTCTTTCCAAGTTTGGTAGAAATCCAGGATAGTTTTAAGAAAGTTATTAAAATTTCAAAAACTTTAACCACAGAGTGAATATTTGTGGACGCCGACGCAGATGCCGACGCCGACTGAATGTAGGATCGCTATGTCTCGCTTTTTCGACAAAAGTCGAAGGCTCGACAACAAGTAAATATAAACTGAACGAATAAGTTTGATCTATGACCGTACAAGACCCTCATGGGTAGTCAAGGTTTTTAAAAACCCTCGTGATCTTTGACACAATATAAATACAATATAAATTATGTCTGTTTTTTTTTGTTCACACATTGTTGTACATAAAATGGAATTTTATGTGACCGTCATACAAGTGAGACGTTTACAAAAATGTAGCTAGCTATAAAACCAAGTTTAATCCACCATTTTCTACATAGAAAGGAAATGCCTGTACCATGTGTACCAAGTCAGGAATATGACAGTTTTTTCCATTCGTTTGATGTGTTTGATCTTTTAATTTTGCCATTTGATAAGGGACTTTCTGTTTTGAATTTTACTTGGAGTTTGGTATTTTTGTTATTTTGCTTTTTTCCAGTAAATATTCTGTTTCAGTAAATTTTGAGATGGTAAAACTTAATAAAAAAGTTATTTTAAAAACTTTTATTCAATGATTGAATAGTTTTTTTATGTTGTTTTTTTAAATTTTTTTTTGAGAATTTACAATGCCAAATTTTTTTCCCCCATTAATTGCCAGGAAATTTTTCTAGCCAAGAACACTTTATTTAACTGTATTTAATATATTCAGATGGAAGTAAAGTCAAACTTGCCACGACACCAAACATCGACATACTAGAATATGGAGATGCAGTGTTTATGGAAGTTGTTGAACCTGAAGTTATCAGTTATCTTTTCAAACTGAGAAGAGCCAAGAACTTTGGGGCTGATTTTGTAAGTTTTAGTTTGCTCTTAAATTTTAATTTTTGCAACCATTTGAGGAACCAAACATTTTGATACTTGTAAATGTTTTTTTGTTGCAACAGAAAATGTTTAATGTGATCATGTTACAGAACAAAAGGGGTGTTTTTGCAAATTTTTGTCTTGGTAAAATCAAGGAGTGTGACATTTATGTATTCCTCAAAGATAACACATTTAATATTTAGAATATATACTAGATTTCTATGATACCAACTCGATTGACACGTATTTCATTATTTCTGGCATGAATTAAAATATACATCACTTCTGACCGTGATGAGGCAGTAAGTATTCTTTTTTTAATTAAAGAATGTATATAATCAGAACGTATTTTTGTTTCTCAGTAATTTATTTACATTATATCATTGATTGATGTTTTCTGTTTGCTATAAACCAAAAACCTATCAGTGTCAGTATGAGTCAGTATACACCGTAACTTGTACCGGTATATCACTATGATAGAATTAGTACATGCATTTACTACAGTTCTGGAAGTATCAGTATATGTAATAGTTAATGGAAGCTTAGGTACAGGGTACAGCAGTATTGACATTTTTAGCTCATCTGGCAAAAAAGCTTTGGTGTCTGTCCTTGTCAACCGCCTGTAATCATAAAATTTTAAAAAAATCATCACCTCTGAACCTACTGGGCCAAACATTTCCAAACTTTACTTGAATGTTCCTTAGGAAATCTAGTTTAAAATTTGTCACTGGAAATGTGATCCATTTAGAAACATGGTTGCTTTTTATGATAGAACTTACAGTTTAAATGCAGTTTTTATACGACCGCAAAAAATTTGCGTTCTTTATTGCTATCATGTCATCGTTGATGGAAGACATTTGGTTTCCTGACAATAACTTAAGTATAAGTGAATGGATCTCTATGAACTTAAACCACAAGGTTCAATAGCACAAAAGGAATGTTGGGATTGATTTTGGGGGTTTTGGTCCCAACTGTTTAGGAATTAGGGGTCTAAAAGGGGCCAAAAAAGGCATTTTTCTAGTTTATGGACAATAACTTGTGTATAAGTGTATGGATCTCTATGAAATTGTAGCAAAAGGTTCCATACCACAAAGGGAAGGTTGGGATTGACTTTGGGGGTTATGGCCCAAACCGTTCAGGAATTAGGGGCAAAAAGAGGGGGGGGGGAACAAGGTTTTTCTGGTTAATGGACAATTACTTAAGTATTAGTCTATGGATCTATATGAAATTGAAACACAAGGTTTCATACCACAAAGGAAAGGTTGGGTTTGACTTTGGGGGTTATGGCTCAAACCTTTCAGGAAAAAGGGCCAAGAGGGGGGGGGGGGGGGGGGGAGGAACAAGGTTTTTCTGGTTTCCGGACAAATACTTAAGTATTAGTCAATGGATCTCTATGAAATTGTACCACAAGGTTCCATATCACACACAGAAGGTTAGGGTCCATTTTGTATGTTGTGGCTTTAATCGTTAAGAAACTAGAGGCCAAATAGGGGCCAAAAACCAAGACTTTTATTATACTGGCTAAGCTGGTTCTAACATAAATTATTTCTGATCTATATAAAGAAACAACAAATACTGATATGGCAGGGGATGCACACCAAACAGGGTGTGTAAATTATTATATTTAGTTTGTAAACAGATTTACTAAGTATTGCGCAACAGCAAAGTATTGCACAACAGCAAGAAATCTTCAATTCAATTGAAAATAAATACAAATCTCTTAACCAATTTCAATGAGGATTAATTTAAAGTCTTGAATTTGTTTGAGTTTTTTACCATATATTACTATATTGGATATTTGGACATTTTTAAATAGGTCTAGATTGAGGTCCAAAGGGTCCAAAATTAGACTTTGTTTGATTTCATCAAAAACTGAATTCTGGTATTTCTATGATATGCCGAATCTAACTGTGCATTCAGATTTTTAATTTTGGGCCCTGTTTTCAAATTAGTCCATATTAAGGTCCAAAGGGTCCAAAATTAAACTTTGTTTGAATTCAAGTTTTTTTTTTATACAATGTATATGCTGAATCTAACCATGGAATTAGATTTTGGATATTGGACCATTAAGTAGATTAAATGTCCCATTTCGAATTTTTAAGTTATCTGACCACATTTATTCTGTGTCAGAAATCTATTATGTGTCAAATATTTCAGAGCTGTATCAAGCTTGAATATTGTGTCCAAACTTGCCCCAACTGTTCAGAGTTCGACCTTTGCGGTCGTATCCAGCTGCCACAAGCGAAGCATTTTTGGCATATATGCATGTATCTAAAAAAATCTTTGCAGTTAAAACAACTGACAGGGTTAAAATGATCAGCAGGTGAAGATCTATCTCCAATGGAATTTTCAGAAAAACAGGACAACCCATTTTGGGGTTATTGGACCCAAAATATTTATCTTAACAAATTTGCACATTATTATGCCCCTTGCGTAGACTAGGGGACATCAGGTTTTACCCTTGTCCATCTGTACGTCCATATGTCCCAAAATTGGTTTCTGTTTTCTAACTTTAGTTTGCCTCAACCAAATGTTATGAAACTTATACACAATGCTTATTACCACAAAACACAGATCAAGTTTGAATTTGGGTGGCGTCACTTTAACCTTTCTAGAGTTATGCCCCTTTACAAATGGAAAAATTGCTGAATTTTTCGTTTCCATTCCAGAGTTATGTCTCTATAACATTATATGCAAGCGGGGGCATCATCAGTGGCCCATGGACACATTCCCCATTTATTTTTACTTATATCTCAAAAATTAAGACAGAGCACAACTGACATGGGTAAAATGACAAGATGGTCAAGGTCTATCTCCTATGGAGTTTTAAGAAAATTGGACAACCCATTTTGGAAGCAAAAATGCATTTTTAAATTTGTTTTATCTTTTAGGTTATTATCTGTAAAACTCCAATAGAAAGGGTGAAAGTTTAAACAGTAAAAATGACCAGAATAATAAGATCTAACAAAAAGTCAACCTGGCAGAAATTGTAAATTGACCCCTTACAGGAGTTTTTCCTTTTGAATGATGATTTTTGTAGTTAATTTTTTGCCAAAACTATAATAGATAGAGCGAAACTGTAAAAAGCAAAATTGTTCAGCAAAATAAGATCTACATCTTAGTTATCTTGGCTGAAATTGTCAATTTACCCTTATAGGAGGTATTGCCCTTTAAAGATGAGATTTACCATTTTTCCACTCCAGGTGTAAAAAGATAGGTATAAACTGGAACCAGTAAAGTGATGATCAATATACAAGGTCTCAAAAATGCCACTAAATAAGATTTACAAAAAGCAAACATAACTAATTGTAATGAAGTTAAAAATAGATATCAAAATGGTAGAGTTTTTATTTACCAGGTGAGAGATTAAGGCTCTGATGAGCCTCTTGTTGTCTAGATGTCACTTGAGTTTTCTTGTAGTTTATTCTTCATTTGCCTATATACCCTAAAAGGGTTGACTTAATTATGGAAATATGTACCCTGGATCTTTCCTGTCTAGTAATAAAACTCAAAAGGACCATCTGTATGTGGGGTATTCAAATTCCCAGTAAAAAGTAATGGGAAATTTAAAAGTGACACTAATTCTGATGCCAAATATAGAATGAGCTGCTCTTGCAGTATGTTGCAAAGCAAAATTTAAGCCTATATCCAAGTTACTTTGTATTTCTACTGGCAGTCAAAATTTCAGGTCAACCTTCTTTGCAGAATTGCTAACTATATATTTTTGGTGCTAGTTAATTTTTTCTCATCTTGAAAATTTGTGCGACTAGACTTCAGTTAATCCTGTTGTTTATGAGTAGTCTTGATAGAACCAGTTTAACAACCTTTATTAACACTTATAGAATAATATATGGTATAAAATGTATGTATGTATTATAATCCTGATTTGGTTCAGGTTCCTTCTGAAAGAAAGCAATTAACCAGGTTGTATGCTGCTCATCAATTCTGATGTCTGTTTCTATTTCTAGGGCAAGCAACACTTTGGGATAGCCTTAGTACCAGGTGATCCATACCATGGATGCAGTCGTCTTAATAACTATAATTTGGTAGCTAACTCTGTTGTTCTTTTACAGAGAGGGTAGGTATTATGCTTAATAGAACAGCTATATCAGATTGTCAAGTTATTATTGTAGAAAACTATCGATACCAAGCCTGCAATCAAAAACACTTTACAGCATACTTTTATTTTGTGTTTTTGTTGTCTTGTCTGGGATGAAAGTTGCAAAATGGGAGACATAGATGTGCTTATTTGGTGATGGCTGTTGGAATGAAGCGTAGAAGACATGGATACTTCATACCTTTGTTTACAGATGCCTTATGATCTGATTTATGTCATAGGAACATTGTCCTTCATCTCATTTTCGTGGTTCAGTGTCTGCTGAAAAAATAACTATGTAGACTTTCGGCACATGACTTTTGCACTTATTATGAATAATAAGTTACTGATTGAGATTTGAGTGCTGAAATCTAAAAAAAACTATTTCACCCAGCCACATTATTATGTTTATGATGTGATTGTCCAAAGTCAAGGACCGTGTAAGTAGTTCGTTTGTCATACCTTAATCATGTTAATGTTTATTGTTATTTGGACAATCGAATGTTAATAGCAGATACTTTTTCATTTCTGTTAAATTTATTGACAAATGTTAGATACTCTGGCTGATTTATAACATATACATGTATAGACACCTGTCTATTAATAAATACTAGGTTGCTCTCTAGATGTCTTTTGGTTATTATTGTAGTTACATTGCTGTCTCAATTAAGTATGCAGCACCCCACATATCTTTTTATTCATATCTCTTGTATTTGATTACATTACTGTGATTAATTAGCAAGTATAGATAAGAAGGAAATAGAATGCTTTCATAGAAAGCATAAAGAAATAATAGTTCATATCTCTTTGAAAAGTGAGATGGTCAATGATTTGAATAGTACATTCTGCTGAATAAAAAAAGTCCCATGAAAGTATTATAAATGCTGATGTTCATAAAGTGCTCCCTTGTAACTTTCTATGTTTTGGTATAAAGTAAAGATTCAAAATTTCTGTACAGTAAAAAGAACAAAAATCAAAAACAGAATAAATGGCAGTCCAAAATACCTGGTAAAAACTCATTAAAGGACAAAGATACCAGGCTTAAAATTTGTTTTACTATTACATGTTTCATCCTCATAAGACTCAATAATGTCATTCTAATAGAATCAGTTAGCAGTAAGAGATGTTATCTTGGGTAGGCATGGGTAAATTTTGGACAAATAAGATATTTTTCATAATGAGGTAAATGAAAGTATCTTTTCTAATCTTGTAAATTTTGTAAATATGTAAAACATTACCTTATACAGGTTGAATGAAAAATGATTTTTGTATGCACAAAACATAGTTACTTCTGCTTACTGATACTTGTCCCTCCACTCCTTCACTGTCCTTGAAAAAGCTTTAAATTCTACTGCAGCCACTAGATTACAGTTTAACTCCAAAGCATCTGTAACGCCTGTCATTGTGTAAATGTACATCCTAATATATTTTATTGTCCAAATGTTTATTTGTTGGTTTCCTGTAGAAAACAATGGAGTTTTCATTTCTGTAAAATAGGGTAGGCATCTTGAATCCAAAGCACTGTATTAAATCACTGAATTTTACCACATCTCTTCATATGACATGACCATCATATCAATAGAATAACTGTTTTAATTTTTTCCCTTATTGAGCACCTAACAAGAATCAGTGTTAAAACTTCAGTTTTGTACATAACTTATTTTTGTTCCTAGAGCACCTGCTAAATAAAAGATGAAGAACAGAGAGACAGATTTAACTAAAATTGAGTACTGTTGTCATCATCATTATTCATTGTATACCAATTTTCTTGGATTTCATGGGTAAAGGTTTACCACAATTTAAATGCTCTACGAAGTACAAATTTTTAAAAGGCTTGTATGTATACTTTGACAATTAAATGAAATCAAATATACACATAAAGATAATATTACTTCATCCAGGAAATTGGTTTCCACAATAAATGAGTCCACAGTTTGCTTGATTTCAAGAGAAAGTTTTGACATTATTCTGTAGTTTTAATAAGTTTTGGTTTTAAATTGACAGAGGTTGTTCCTTTGTTACAAAGACCTACCATGCAGAGCAGGCTGGTGCTGTAGCTGTAGTGATAACAGACCAAGATGAGGCAAATGATCAGGGTATTGTAGATATGATACAAGATGGAACAGAAAGAGATGTCTCAATACCAGCATTATATCTCTTAGGGAAAGATGGGTGAGTTAGACTGTTGTCTCCCTTTTCTGTTTCTGATAATGCTAATAATATAAATACACTTATACAATCTTATTCATAATTTGACCTTCTTTTAATTAAGGGGTCAAATCGAAGTAGCACTAAATGAAACTAACCCTGACACATGAAAGACTCCAACACTAGCCCAAACCCTTAAACCTAACCCTAGCATAAAACACCCTAATTTAACCCAAAAAGTAAACAGAACCCAAAAGTACAGGGACACCTGAAGAAAAAGAAGGTCCATAATTTTAAGTGAATACGAAAGAAAGATAATTTCACGTTATCATGACTAAAATGACAGTGCCAGGCTTCCTAATCAGACATTTTTAATGCAGTCATAATAATGATGAGTTCCATCCATCTTAAATTCAAAATTTTCTTGAGTGTATTGTGTAAAATTTTGTGTTCAGCATATGAAATTCAGCTTTAACAATATTTATTTGAACTACATTATGTATATGTGATTTGTAAACATGTCATTTGAAGTCCTGTATATCATAGTCCTACTTAAGCTTTGAATAATATTTATTATTTTTTTTATTTCAGATATATGATCAAGAAAACTATTGAACAATACAATCTACCTAATGCAGTAGTCAATATACCTATCAACATTACCTCGATTCCTATACAGCAGAGGCATAACAGACCACCATGGGTGTTATGGTGACGAATTATCTCCCTTTCTTATCAGTCCCAACTGTAGAATTATATATCAAATCTCTGTGATCATTGTTGAATTCCATTAAACTGTGTTAATTAGTAACATAATTTTGAAAAAAGTACAGATTTTTTTTTTTAAATTGACAGTTTGAATAACTCTGGATGGGATCAAAGTTTTGTAAAATAAAGAAAAGTATCATTTGTTATTTTCATTAATAATAATTTATTTATAAAAACAACCAGATAAAAATTTGAAGAGCTAGTAATTATCACTCTAACATCTCATTAGTTCTAGATTCTAACATGATCAAGCTCCCAACTATTCTTTACCTTCTTCTTACCATCCTTTTCTTTTTTTTAAACTTTCTTTAGAACATGTCTATTTCTGTGGTTATTTCAAATTTTGATAGCATTTCCTGAAATTGTGATAATTGATTTCACATTTTTGTCCATTGTCCAACAGTGGCAATAATAAATGCCTGGATTTACAGTATTTTCTTAGACTAATCAAAGGCCTGTATTTCACATGTTTTCATGGTTTTTATTGCCAAACTTAGCCCTGCATTAGACAGGTTTAAGAATTTGTTTAGCCTGATTTCACTGTATTGATATATATGTATTGTTTTAATGTATAGTCAACACTAACCAGTGATTAATGATGCATAACATTTTTTTTTTATGTATTTAAATATGCCAGCAGGAGTCCTTTTTAATTTTATTTCTAATTGCTGAATGATTCAAGGCGATCTCCTGTGTCCATGCTCAATTACAAAGATCAGAACACATTCACTTCTACTCTCTGTTCTGATAATTATTATGTAAACCATTTAATTTTTCTGTTTTCAAATATTTGAAAGAATGTATCATTACAACAAAATCTGAAATTCCTGAAAAGTTCTTCACAAAGAAAGCAAAGCATTGTCAGACCCTTGTGTAAGCATAGACACCAGATCTGTATTTTAATCAGATTTGGTTCATGGATATACTAAATGCATATAACTAAAATGTGTATATGTGTGTTAAATGTACATTTATGTTGATATTTTTTCAGTTTTTTATTCTCTTTAACATTTAGATGGCAATGTTTGAAATTTTTGTTGACCCATAGGCAGTATGCCTGCAGTTTTTATGAAAGATTTGTATTAAGGTTATGAATTGTAATGGAATAAGCTTTGATTTCTGTAAAAAAAACTCTTTGGGCCTGCTGGGTTTTCTGTATGATTTTTGACTCTCCTATAGGAGAAATGTACCTATAAAAGTCAATTATTCAGCAATCAATTTCAAAATAATTAAAACCAGAATTTTAAATTGTTAGCTTTAATGGGTAATAATACTTAACTTTAATAAAGATGTGTTTCCCTAGATTTGCCAAAATAAAGGATGTTTTCTTTTTCAGTATTCTGTTGTCATGACATTTTATACATTGTTAATCCCTACCTATATTCTTAAGGCCAATAAATAATATGTCTGTTTAGGGTTACCTGACCGTTTCTAATTTGAAATCCGTAAATCACTGACCCTAAGCCATTTTATTTCCGTTGTAAATGGAAAAAATAACTGGACTAGTCTCAAAAGCGTAGTTAGACATCTCGATGTTCACAGTTGTGCTTATGACAGCTGTTTTAAGGAAACTGGTAACTCCTGTGATGAAAAAACCACTTTGCCACCATTTTTTTACCAAAATAACAAAGGGAAATAATCCAATCATTTGAAATATGGATCAATTGGGCCCATGGACAACTACGTCCATGAAAAAACGGACCACATTACATATCATGTTGCAAAAAATAAAATGGAAAAACAAAATAAAATGAAGATACCGACCTACCTTTCCTATTTTTAAGTTTTACCCTTGTCCGTCTGTACGTCCGTCTGTACGTCCGTCCGTACGTCCCAAAGTTGGTTTCCTTTCTCTAACTTTAGTTTACCTCAACCAAATGTGATGTAACTTATACACAATGCTTATTACCACAAAACACAGATCGAGTTTGAATTTTGGTATAACCATTCTAGAGTTATGCCCCTTTACAAATGGAAAAATATCTGAATTTTTCGTTTCTGTTTTCTAACTTTAGTTTGCCTCAACCAAATGTTATGAAACGTATACACCATGCTTATTACCACATAATACAGATCAAGTTCGAAATTGGACGGCGTCACTTTTACAATTCTTGAGTTATGTCCTTTATAAACATAAAAACTGCTGAATTTTTCGTTTCCGTTCCCTAACTTTAGTTTGCCTTAACCAAATGTTATGAAACTTATACACAATGCTAATTACCACAAAATACAGATCAAGTTTGAATTTTGGTGGTGTCATTTTTACCGTTCTAGAGTTATGCCTGTTTACAAATGGAAAAATTGCTGAATTTTTTGTTTCTGTTCTCTAACTTAAGTTAGCCTCAACCAAATGTTATGAGACCTATACACAATACTTATTACCACAAAACTCAGATCAAGTACAAATTTGGGTAGGGTCACTTTTACTGTTCTTCAGTTATGTTCCTTTATAACTTTATATGATATGCAAGCGGGGGCATCATCTGTGTCCCATGGACACATTCCCCATTTATTTTTAGATGATGTAACCCTAAACAGACATATATTATTTTGGCCTAATGAGTAATTTACCAGAAACTTGTGTTCTAAAGTCAGCTTTTTTTTGTTTATATTAAAAATGTATTATTTTATTAATATGCAATACAAACATAAGATTTTTCAATTGTAAATATGATCAGGACTATTCCAGGAAAAGCTGTATTTGGGTAATGGGATCTGTACTTTTCTAACTAATTATACAGTATAATTTCTTATTTAAATATTTTATCCTCATGAATAATATGGGTTACCTTCCTTATCCCCTCATTCTTTCCTGGAAAAGCTCTCAACAAAATCTATGCACCAGAAAAACATCTATACCATTATCAGCTTATATAATTTGACTGGAGTGTAATATTTTGGCTATAATTTATGCATGTGTTTTTGTATAGCTTTTAAAAAATAACAGGCAGAATTGAAGTAAAAAAAAATAGGTTAAAGATTATTTTTGGTTAGAAGTATTACATGATTATGGAACAGCAAGCTTATCTTTATTTATACTTTCATTGCTTGAAAGCAGTTTTGTGATTGAAAACAGTTCAGATATTTTTGCAAAAATAGATTTTCAAGGATAACAACCATACTGTTGCCCTCCCAACATGACATGGTGAGTGAAATAAAATGTTGTTTCCCACTGAAAATTCATTAGTAGGCAGACAACACTATAGACGTGTAAACTGAGAGTCAATAAGATGAATACATGACAGATATTTGTAAATCATTTTTTGGGGTAAAGATTGCATTCATGCAATCAAAAGCTTTATGTGGTTGGCTTGATAGTTATCAATTTTCCAAACTTTATCACTACTTTTGAGATAAATCCAACATAGTGCATTGATCGCAACATTCTATACATCTTATCCATGAATGTTTCAGAAATTTATTAATGAAATATATGCACAGATATTGAACTTACAAACCAAAGTTTGTGTGTTACCTTACTTGTCAAAAAATTGCAAAACTGGTACAAGTTACATAAATCTAGTATCTGTTTTAAAAATATCAATGATGTCATTGTTACAGTACTATTTAAAATTGGACTTATCTTCCTTTGTCCAAAATTGTAGTTGAACCAACTAAAATCACAGTTTTGCCTGCCAATGCTTAATACAATGAAATGTTCAATGTTTTGTTCCCACTGGTTAATTGAAGTAAGCATTACCCTTCATTACTTACAAGCACTTTGTTTTTAATTGTTAGAAGAAAATATAATTCTTACTACTAATTTTAGAAATTGTGTGCAAACATCCATTATTACTTTGCTTAACAAATAATTAAAGTAAACATATTTTGGCCTTCATTATCATCACTAGATGTCCAGAATTGTAAACATTTGGCCAGTAAATTCTAAGAGGGGAAAATGAACCTGAACTTTACATTGCATGATACCTACTGAAAATGCTGACCATAACTCTATGTTGTATGCTTGATGGTTATCTGTGCCTACCAACCTCATTATACGACCGCAAAAAAATTTTGTGGTCGTATATTGGTATGACGTTGGCGTCGTTGTCGTCGTCGTTGTCCGGTGTTGTCGTCTTCGTCGTCCGAAGACACATTGGTTTTCACACTCTAACTTTAGTTTAAGTGAATGGTTCTCTATGAAATTTTACCATAAGGTTCAATACCACAAAAGGAAGGTTTGGATTGATTTTGGGGTTATGGTACCAGCAGTTAAGGAATTAGGGGCCAAAAAGGGACCAAAAATAAGCATTTTTGTAACTTCCAGACATAACTTGTGTGTTAGTGTATGGATCTCTGTGACATTGTACCACAAGGTTCCATATCACAAAGGGAATGCTGGGATTGATTTTGGGGGTAATTGTCTCAAAATTTTAGGAATTAGGGGCCAAAAAAGGGGCAAAAAACAAGCATTTTTCTAGTTTCATGACAATAACTTGTGTGTAAGTGTATGGATCTTTATGAAATTGTACTACAAGGTTCCATATCACAAAGGGAGAGCTGGAATTGAGTTTGGGGGTAATTGCCCAAAACGTTTAGGTATAAGGGGCCAAAATAAGCATTTTTCTAGTTTCCAGACAATAACTTGTGTTCAAGAGTATGGATCTCTCTGAATTTGTACTGCAAGGTACCATACCACAAATGGAAGGCTGGGATTGATTTTGGGGGGAAATGCCTCAAAATTTTAGGAATTAGGGGCCAAAAAGGGGCCAAAAACAAGCATTTTTCTAGTTTCAGGACAATAACTTGTGTGTAAGTTATGGATCTTTATGAAATTGTACTACAAGGTTCCATATCACAAAGGGAAAGCTGGGTTTGAGTTTGGGGGTAATTGCCCTAAACGTTTAGGAATTTTGGGCCAAAAAGGGTAAAAAAACAAGCAATTTTCTAGTTTCCAGACAATAACTTGTGTTCAAGTTTATGGATCTCTCTGAAATTGTACTGCAAGGTACCATACCACAAAGGGAAGGCTGGGATTGAGTTTGGGGGTGATGAATCATAAGGGGGTTCAAAAAATTTGGAGGAGGGATTTTTTTTCCCTGTTTTTTCTTTCTTTTTTCTTTAAAATTTTCCATTTTAAATTGGTTATTTCTGCTTTATATATAAAAGCAAAAAATAATGATATGGTTTGAATCGGTAAATTAAAAATTTTTAAGTTCTTAGACCACATTCATTCTGTGTTAGAAACCTATGCTGTGTCAAATATTTAATCGCAATCCAAATTCAGTGCTGTATCAAGCTTGAATGTTGTGTCCATACTTGCCCCAACTGTTCAGGGTTCGACCTCTGCGGTCGTATCAAGCTGCGCCCAGCGGAGCATTTTATTATATATTCTTCTGGAATAGCCTTTGTAAAAGTGAAAATGATTGTATATGCAAATAACTAATTGTTAAAGCTATATTTATTTATATAATATATGTATGTATATATATATTTACCTATGCAAATTTTTTACATACATGTATTTTACAACATTTGTTATGCAAAATTAACAAAGGATTTACTTTATGAAGACAGTCATAGATATTGTTTGAGCATCATGTAGGTGAGTTTAAATAATAATGTCGTTTTTGAAAGGTTAACTGATTTTATTGCAATGAATGTTTCTAAGTATATATATCTGTTAGTCCACTGAGTGACTATTGTAACTGATTTCATATCAATGTCTTGAATATGCAGGGAATATATGCTGCTATATCATATGCAAGTTTGAGCATCATGTCAGTGAGTTTGAATAAAAATGTCGATTTTGAAAGGTTAACTGATTTTATTGCAATGATTGTTTCTAAGTATATATATCTATTAGCCGCCAGAGTGACTGTATTGTAACTGATTTCATATCAATGTCTTGAACATGCATGGAATATATGTTGCTATATCATATGCAAGTAACAATCAAAGAAACATATCATATAGAATTTAACTGCCAAAAATGGACACAATGCAAATTCAGGAATCAGCTTTTTGCATAAGAAAATTAAAACATTGTTATTAGAAACAATACCATATTAACTTGGTATGGTTTTAATATCATTTTAGTCCTGAATGTAAAGTTAATTAAATTGTTAAACAATTGTATGCATGCTTTGATATTGGTTACTAGATTGGATTTGTAATTTTTCATGTTTCATTTTATTTTGCTATTTTTTGTCGAGCCTGCGACTTTTGTCGCAGAAAGCTCGACATAGGGATAGCGATCCGGCGGCGGCGGCGGCGGCGGCTACGGCGGCGGCGGCGGCGGCGGCGTTAGCTAACTTCTTAAAAGCTTTATATTTTAGAAGATGGAAGACCTGGATGCTTCATACTTTGTATATGGATGCCTCATGTTACGAAGTTTCCGTCAGTCACATGTCCAATGTCCTTGACCTCATTTTCATGGTTCAGTGACTACTTGAAAAAAAAGTTAACATTTTTTGTAATGTTAAATTCTCTCTTATTATAAGTAATAGGATAACTATATTTGGTATGTGCGTACCTTGCAAGGTCCTCATGCCCGTCAGACAGTTTTCACTTGACCTCGACCTCATTTCATGGATCAGTGAACAAGGTTAAGTTTTCGTGGTCAAGTCCATATCTCAGATACTATAAGCAATAGGTCTAGTATATTCGGTGTATGGAAGGACTGTAAGGTGTACATGTCCAACTGGCAAGTGTCATCTGACCTTGACCTCATTTTCATGGTTCAGTGGTTATAGTTAAGTTTTTGTGTTTTGGTCTGTTTTTCTTATACTGTATGCAATAGGTCTACTATATTTGGTGTATGGAATGATTGTAAGGTGTACATGTCTAGCTGGCAGGTGTCATCTGACCTTGACCTCATTTTCATGGTTCAGTGGTCAAAGTTAAGTTTTTGAGTTTTGGTCTTTTTTTCTAATACTGCATGCAATAGGTCAGCTATATTTGGTGTATGGAATGATTGTAAGGTGTACATGTCTAGCTGGCAGGTGTCATCTTACCTTGACCTCATTTTCATGGTTCAGTGGTCAAAGTTAAGTTTTTGAGTTTTGGTCCTTTTTTCTTATACTATATGCAATAGTTCAACTATATTTGGTGTATGGAAATATTTTATGATCTATATGTCAGTCACGCAGGTTTTATTTGACCTTGACCTCATTTTCAAGGTTCATTGCTCAGTGTTAAGTTTTTGTGTTTTCGTCTGTTTTTCTTAAACTATAAGCAATAGGTCAACTATATTTGTTGTATGGAAGAATTGTTAGCTGTACATGCCTGCCTAGCATGGTTCATCTGACCTTGACCTCATTTTCATGGTTCATTGGTCAATGTTTAGTTTACTTGGTTAATGTTAAGTTTATGTGACAGTTGTAATAAAGCTTTATATTTAGGACTATCAACATAATATCAATGATTAGTAAAGAAGGCGAGACATTTCAGCGTGTGCACTCTTGTTTTCATTGACATCCTTTGATATTGAATGCAACCAGGATTTGAATTTTCAAACTTTAATTGCTTTGAGAAAGTTTTAATAAAAAAAGGTTACCTTTAATTGCATTAAAATATTGACCAGCTTTAGTAAGGGTAAAACAGAAGGTATTATTTGGAGCTCAATAAGCCCTCAGACCAAATGTATTTAAAAATTTCTCTGTATAGCAGAATTAAATGTTTAATCTATGTTACTCAATAAAACATTGCTATTTTTGTTGGTAAATTGTGTCTACATTCAATAGTGGAATTTGGAGTCAGTTGTAGAAACTTTTGTTTATAGTGCTCTAATTGCTTAATATATGTTGCACGAGAACTACAGGCAGAAGTTATTCCAGCATTAGTCCTTATGTTTAAAACATATTCTATATTTATAAGAAATGTACATTAATTTGAATTATATCAGTAAAATATATGTAAAATTACAATATGTTGTCAATAAGTTTCCATAGGAGTTAATCTGATATTGCGCTTATTGGTTAGCACTAGAATAGTTTCTGTTAGAAAATTATTCAATGCACAGTTACCTGTTTTGGTAAAAGGTTTTATTAATATTCTAATTGTTAAAATAAAGTTAAGTGGAGGTGAATTTTATGTATGAATGCAATCATATGGAATTTTCATCAATGAATAAAAAAATCTTTTTACTTTAAGCTCTTGACACGATATCAAATACAGAATTCCCTAAATGAACATTTGATATTTTTGTTTTTGATAATGTGGACTCTGATAATTTAGATGTCCTCCTGAAAAAATTACAATTCTGCCTTTGAAATCTTCCAAAAGTACTGTTTATTTGCCAAGGAGAAACTATGGTTCTGGCAGAATCATGTGATATTAGGTTCATTTTCCCTGACCAGTTCCAAAAACTCCTTCTGTGAAGAGGGTAAGTTTTAAGCCAATCACATTCATTACCCACATACAAAAATGTTCAAAATGAGACTTAGATGTTACTATTCCTGTGTCAATATTTGCACTTAATTTTAAAGTTTGTTTATGTCCATTTCAGAATAAGACTTAATTATAGAACATGGATATTAGATATAAAGTTGCAGCAGCAATATATGGATTTTGGTTTATTTGGTTTATGTCTCCTCAAACATGCTCTTGGGCTTGACATCTTTATATAGATCAAATTTTAAGCTTTCTGCTTAAGTGTGTATCTGAAGAAGTATTAATGGTAGACCATTGATATGTGTTATGCGGATTTTTTATTTTGATAAGCACTCATGCTTTAAGCTTTCAAGCAAAATGTGAATCTCTGCCCCTTATTCGTGATTTTTTAATCTGGAATGTTTGCATTAATCTCTGATTAGATATATTTTGAAGAAACACTTTCAGTAGATCAATGATATTTGTTATGCCGTTGCATTAACAATCACATTTCAGTTTTGAACAGAATATGTGGCATAATTTGAATTGTTATGCTTTATTGACTTTGGGATTTTACTTTTTAGATCACCTGGCCCATAGGACATTCAAATATATGAACATATAAAATATAATAGATGTAGGTATCTGTCAATGGGAGAGAAATTAAACTACACAAAAACAGAAATAACACCTAGAGGTCAATAATACACATATATCAAGTTGTGTATGGAATCCAAATGGCAATAAATTTAACTAGACATGGCTTTACTCAATTTCTTGAAGGAATTCAACACAACAAACTTGATACAGTGCAACACGACAAACTTGGCGAGGCCGAAAAGCAATGAATTAAGGCGACAGTAGTTTACTGATGTTCAAATTTCGTAAATCGATTAGGAAGAGATGAATCAAGGTAGCTTACGAAAACTGAGGGTATCGCATGTCGATTTCAGTTGTTCTTCCTCATAATTCTGTTGAAGCAGTTGTTGTTTAAGGAGCATTCTCGGGTTAACGTAGTCTGTCTAGTGTGAACTTGCACCAGCGTATCGTATTAACTGAGATATGTATACACCATACGATGGAACAGATGTATATTACTGGTGAGAAATGGGAAGTTGACAATAGGAAAGTTGAAATCATCATGTTTGTTATAGTTTCTAGTTTGAAATCGTCCATCTGTATCAATATCGAGGAAAAGATCAAGATATTAAACAGAACTGCTACTTCCGGTATAATCTAGTTTAGTTTAAACATATTTTATTTGCTCAAAGCAAAAAGGATCAGACACAAGTAAAACATACTTATAAAGTCTTCTCCACAATACAATACATATAACAATAGAAATTGAATGTGAGCATGCATGATGCATTACATAATATAAATAAAATAAATATTTCTAAACTATGCTGTAAAAAGGAAATGGGGATGAAGAAAGAACGACAGAGGTTAGGATGATGATGTGCGTTTTACCTATGTTGATATCATACTACGAGGAATCGTTTTGATCTCTTTATTAAATTTAAGTTTTGTTTAACAATTTTCACATTTTTATCATAGGAAAGAGTTTCTTTTCCAAAAACCAATAGTGTAAGTCCAAATTCCAGCATTCGGGAAGCCAGCTGAGACTATTAATCTAAATCTATATAATCTTTAATCTCAAGTTCACTAGGATAAATTAGATGTAAGCTGCCATTGAAATGTAAGTTGGTTATTGAGTGATATCAATATATCAGAAAGTGAAATTAAAGAACTTAAGGTTTTTCTTGTTGTCTTTGGGAAGGTTCTATATGAATTATGATTCATATGAGTACAAAAACAAGTCGGCCAGTAGAGGTGCACAATAAGTACTTATTGGAATATCGACTGTCTGCTGAAATATCAATCCACCAATCTCGAGAAATAATTTGTTCATTAAAAAGTCCAACATTTTGATGATACTAATTTAGGTGTATTTGTTTTTGGAATCAATGTAGTTCTAAACAAAGTGTGATTTTTCCTGACATAACACAAGGAATTTGTATCTACGTTTCCAATTTTTTTTCGAAATAGCTCTTTTTAATGAGACGATGTAGTCGATCTTTCAATTGAAGATAGGGGATAGTAGTGTAAAATGTAGTTAAATTAAAGAGTTTGATATTAATGCAAAATTCTAAAGATTGTGATTAACAATTTTGGAGTTGATTCTTTATCAATTGTTTTCTGTCTAACACCGCGGATTGAATATACCTCATCACAATATTTCTGAAGGCCATCTTTTACTGAAGAAAGAATGGTGGTAAGAACTTTTAGAAAGATGTTTAGTCGGACATCTTAATGACCCGCCTATATATCTTTCAATAGGGATTTTTTTGAAGTTTAGGTATCTTATAAAAAGATTGGAGATTTTCATCGTCCTTTTTTATGTTTATACCATAGGACAGAAGGACGGATTTGTGAGTTTCTAAAATCTCTTTCGTGAATTATGTAGGGGTATATATGTGAGATTCCCAGTTTTGCTATGAATTCCGAGTTCTTTAACGAGACATTCCAAATAATGGTTTTTGCACATAAAAATAATATTGTTTGAGGCTTTGTCTGCTTGAACAACGAAATATTAACAGTGAACAGAGGATACGGTTTCCACAACCTCGGGCTTTCAGAAAGGGTCAAAAACCCTTGAGCTCATTGTATGTACATTGTAGATTTTCAATTCTCTTCGTGTTAAGTTTTGGGTCATCTGGCTCGCGCCTTACCCATTTTCTGGTATAGTCCTCAGCTGCATTCATCAGTTACCCGAATTTCTTCTTCCAGTTGATGGGTTGGGGAAATTGATATTTCGGATCTCTGGCTAACAACTCTCTAGGTCGTACTTTGTAAATACAGTTAATTCACAAATGACGCCTCTTTTGGGGAGATATTTAATTTTCATAGATATTTTGTTTTGTTTACCTACTGGTAACCAGATATGATCTCCATGTTTCAAATCATAGAGACACACATCGGGATTTTTACCAGTGCAAATACTGTTGGATAGAGGACAAATTGAATTCTCAAGAAGATTTAAAGTAAAGGGAGGTGTAGTACAGAATTTTAGTACAAGTTTAAATCAGAAAGAATGCTTCAAATCTAGCAACTAGAACCGAGTTGGAACATAAGAACATTTTATCAAAATACCAGCTAAAAAAGGTTCACCATAAATAAAATGTTTATACGAAAAGCTTATTTCATAAGTTCAAAATTTGCACCCAAAAGAATACTCTTGGTATACATATGCCAACAGCATCTAAAGTGAAATTATGTTAAACTGCTAAAAATCTTCAACAAAATACGGGGGAAGATAACAAAAAACGAATTAGTCAATTCTGTTCAACAATTTATTTGAACAGTTTTAGTGATGAAAGATTAATGTATGCTAAACGAGAACAAAAATTAAAAAAAAGGAAATTGTTTTTATAAATAAAGCAGTCATACTAAATTAAGGGATGTAAATAAACTCATCATAGATATCAGGATTGAAATTTTGTATTTACGCCAGACGCGCGTTTCGTCTACAAAAGACTAATCAGTGACGCTCGAATCAAAAAAAGTTAATAGTATTTAAGCACAAACACGTTTTTTTCTCCCGGTTAAAAAAAAAAAAAAAAAAAAAAAAAAAAACCACTCAACCCAGAATTAGCGAGAACATAAAAATAGAAAGGTAAGACAATATTTCTAAAGGACAACAGCTATACCACAATAGTAATTCACCAGAAGATGAATAAAATGGTTGTATTAAATTGTAAAACGTATGAAGCATCTTTCAACGAAATACAAATGTATAGCCATAATCTTATTGATCTATTAGAAAATGATAAAGAATAAACTGTATTTTCAAATTCGTCAACATCGTCTGAAGTAAATAAAAGGTTCCTTTATACAAAAAAAAGTAATTAGAACCAAGCGCAGGAAATATAAATATATTTGCTTTATCTGTTGATATTCTATTTACTGTACTATATGACTTATTGTATTTTTGTACATTTAACAGGCCTTATTTACCCTTTATGTATATGTTTTATTTTCATTATTTATCGAGATATTTGAATTAGAATTTTGTGAAACCGAAATTTAAAAAAAAGATGTTAACCTTGACTGTATATTGATAAAAAAAATTGGAAAACAATCTTTTACTGTAACAAACAAAATCTGAAGCTCTTTCAAGTCACCAATTTTCGAATTGTTAAACATAGTATGTTACAATATCCTAAAATATATCCATTTTCCACGTATAAGTGTTCCAGTACGCCGGCCTGCTTCTGTCACGTGAACTTTTAATATAGAAAGATTGTCTTTTTCATGAATATAAAGATTAAAAAAGTCGAGTCTTTGCAGTTGAAAAATTAAAGATAAAGATTTTTACAAAGAACGTTATCCCATAAAAGATATTTTTTACAATTTTATAAAAGAAATTTCATGAATTTGCGGTCTTCCCATTGGTATTTACCGGAGGTCTAAATAACCACGTTATTAAATTGGCCATTTAATAGTACCAATCATTGTCATCTATAAGTATGTCACATATTCAAATACTAACAAACTGCAAATGAAAGCAACAGTTCAATGTAATATTTAGGGTTTTCTTTTTCTATGAGTAGACCTTGGCCAAGTTTGACATATTAAATTGTTAAAAAACTGCAAATGAAAGCAACATTTACATGTTAAAAAGTAAAATATCAAAAAATCCGAACTCCGAGGAAAGTTCAAAACGTAAAGTCCCTAATCAAATGGCAAAATCAAAAGCTCAAACACATCAAACGAATGG